GGAAGAGCTGGGCGAGAGTTGCCTCTGGAACACGTGACTGTGGAGGCTGTAATGCTTGCGCCAGGAACTGAAACGGCTCCTCGAGGGCAGGAGTTGCGGAACCGCCAGCCCCGGGATGAGGATACTGCGCTCCACCTCCCGCAGCCACAAACTCAACTCCCGCCACAGGCGGAACGGGCGGGAGACGAAGCCGGGACCCAGGAACAGGCGCAGAGGCAGAAACAGCAGGAGCCGACGGGGCTAGACTCTGATGAGGGACGGGCGCAGCCGGCGGGAGATCCACAGGAAGCACAGCCTGTCGGGGTGCAGCACGGGCCACGACAGCGTGAGAACTGCCCTGGGTCAGGGCGGCTCTCTCCTCACGCACCGCAGTTGACACCGCCCGCTGCAGATCCGCCATCCTCACGGGCGGATCGTACGCCCCACCACCTCCGCGACCGCGGGGACCCCACCAGCCACCGCGGCCACCATGGTTCGCGTGCGACTGGGCCTGCTGATGCGGGCGGCGGGGAGAATTGCGGCGGCGCCGAGAGGTTTGACGATCCGGCTGGTGAGCGGGAGAATGAGGGCGAGATGGGCGCCGGCCTGGTGACGGCGGGCGAGATAGCTGCGCCGCACGAGCAGTCGGTGGCACAGGAGGAGCAGCCGGACCCCCAACCGGTGGGGCAACCAACGGGGACAGGCCGCCAGTGGTGGCGGACGCCCCCTGCGGGGACGAGACAGAGGCAGGAGTCGGCAACTCAGTCGCGGCGACAAGTCCAGCAAGCAAGGGAGCCGAGGGGTTGGCGACAGACTCCGGCGGTGCAGCAGGGGACGCCTGAGGTTCAGCCCGCACAGCTGGGGCGGATGGAACAGCAGCAGCAGTTACAGGAGTCTGAGAGACACCAGTCGCAGTTGAAACAGGCGCATCCGCGACAAGGAGAGCCGCGGGTCCGGGGTGAGGAATCTTTTCAGAGGATGTTGTCGAGGGCTTCGGAGCCGGAGGCAGAGGGGGCTTCGTCGCCGTGGTCGCCTTTTCGGGCTCCGACTGAGGCCTGGCGACCATTGCCGACCAGGAGGCAGCGAGCTCTGGCGTCTGCTCAGACGACCCGGCAATCACCATCGCGTGGACGAGGGGCTCAGGGAGAGCGGAGCCAGACGGTTAGCGGAGCAGGCGGAGGACCGGAGAACGGGTATCAGGCGGCAGGGCGTCGGGCTTTAATAGCACTGGTAGCAGCTAATGAAGCCGAGGATAGAAATGACCCCTCTTATACCGTGGAAGAGCAGCCAGAGAGTGAAAACGAAGAAGGGGATGGAGCTGAGATACCAAGGGTAGGAACGGAGAGGAGAGGACCAGGTGCAGCAAATTTACCCACGGCAGAAACGGAGGGGCAAGCAGGGCCGTCCACTGTTGATCGAACGGCTGTGAACCCAACTCGGCAGCAATCAGCGAGATCGAGCAGCGCTCGAAGAAATCGGACCGCATCATTTCGCCAGGCGTCAATCGCGACCCCGCAGCTGCCCCAGTATTTTTCACCAGTGGAGTTGGCAGAGAGGAGCGACTTGTTCGCTGACATCGCGAACTGGGATATTTCCGCCCTCTGCGACAGTCGACAGTCGCCACTGTCAAGACGATTACCGCCAAATTTGTGCCAGCTATTTTCGCTGGCACTCCTGACACCCCTACACCACCTCTCGCGAAACCCTGATTCCGAGGCAGGCTGGCGACTACTCCTTTTCCTCCCGCGTCTAACACTTCGCCAAGCTTCGCCAAAGCACCCAAACTGGCCGCAAATCAAGGCCCGACTCCGGGCTTTCTAGCGTGGCGAGTGGATGCAGCTCTACCAGGAGGCAGTAAACGCGATCAACACCCCTCCACCCCCGCGTCACCAACCCGACGTGACAGGTGTATTGAGTCGAGCGGAGGGGTTGGCCAAACGAGGCAGTCTGCGCCGAGCCGTGCTGGCGCTCGAGTCAACACCCGTCTGCGCGCCAAGTCCAGAAGTACTGGCCGAACTCCGACTGAAACACCCGCTAGCAGGGACGGACCCGCTGACCTGGCAAGCAACCGACACCCGTCCCCTAGGCATCTCCCACGCTGAATTTGCGAAGCTTCTTGGGCGATGCGATAATGGCGTGGGGGCCGGACCATCAGGCACCACATTTGAACATCTTCGCGACGCGGCAATAACCAATGCATCCGTCAGCACCCATCTGCACGCCCTGGTAAACACAATTCTGGGTGGAAACCTCCCAGCCTCGGTGGCGGACCTGCTGACAGCATCTCGACTCATTGCCCTGGCCAAACCGGGAGGAGGTGCCCGACCAATCGCGATCGGCGAATGCCTGACGCGTCTGGCTGCCAAGGCTGCGCTGTCGGTCATGGGCGAAGCTGCACGTGATCACTTCCTACCCCTACAGTATGGCGTGGCGGTGCCAGGAGGGGCGGAAGCGATAATTCATGCCGCCCGAACGTACGTGGATGGCCACCCCAACAGCCTGGTACTTCAGACCGACATCGCGAACGCTTTCAACAGCATTTCGCGACAATCCATCGCAGCAGCGTTACAAGATCCAACACTGTCGCCGCTTCTCCCTATGGTTCGCCTGACCTATGGTAACCCATCGCGGCTCTACCTGGATTCGAACTTTGCGAGCGATCCCCTGCGTAGCGAACGAGGCGTTCGCCAGGGCGATCCACTGGGCCCACTCCTTTTTGCGGCGGGAATCCACCCCACACTTCGCGACACTGCAGCAGCTCACCCCGAGGTGCTTTGCTTGGCGTATGCAGATGACGTGACATTTGTGGGTGAACCACGTGCTACTGTAGCTGCCTTCACCCACTTCACCACGAGGTTAGAATTGCTGGGTTTAAAACATAACCCTCAAAAGTGTACCGCATGGAGCGCTGCCGCGGGCGATTCACCTGAGCTGCCTCCAGGGGTGCCGTTCTGCAAGGACGGCGTTCGTCTGTTAGGGAGTTTTCTGGGGGCGGCCGACGGGGCAGCCACGTTCTTGGCGGGGCAGCTGAGGGACTTGGCTAAACCTTTGCCACTCATCGAGCAGGCCGACCCACAGGTCGCCTCGCTGCTGATCACGCGCTGCATCTCTCGGCGCGTGGCGTATCTCACGCGAACAACCCCCCTCAATCTCGTCTCGCGGGATACATGGACAGAGTGGGGCCGTGACCTCCTCTTGGCACTACTCACCTCGTGCAACATTCGCGCACCGGCGGGCAGAGCAGAGCAGTCCCGGGTCTGGGCTCAGGCGTCCCTACCCCCCTCTCTTGGTGGAATAGGCATTACAGACCCCCTCGTCGAGGGAGTGTACGGTTTCGTCGCAAGCTTCACGCAGGCGGCGCTGCTCCTCTCCGCGTTCGCGCTAGACCCGGACTCCGCACTATCTCACGCGCGCTGCCATATGCTCCTGCCTAGGAACGAGAGCACTCCGCTACACTCCTGGCTCGCCGAATGCGAAACCGCCCTGCCTTCTGACGCGCGAGAGCTGCTAGAACAGGAACGTATTAAGCGGACAGATGTCAAGCTGCAGCATGCCCTCGCCCTACAGGTCCACGGTAGCCGCTACGCAGTGCAAGTACGGGCGACGAGAGACATGGAGCTGAATCCGCTGGCGGGCCATACGCAGCGGATGTTTTCTCTAACGGGCTATGGCACGGGGGACTGGCTGACGGCGATACCTATCGAGGCGACGAGGCGCATAGGACCGGCACACTTTGCCAATGCCGTCAGATTCAGGCTTGGGTTGCCCTTTTCCACCCCCAAAAACTGTGACTGCTCGGACCACACTGAAATCACGGACCCTCGCCTCCCAAACCACCTCCTTCGATGCGGCACTGGCAAGCATCGCATCAACACCCACAACGAGCTCCGGGATGCTTGCATTAGTATGGCGCAGGATGCGGGTTTCATAGTCCACAGTGAGTCGGCCGCCCATTGTCCCATCGAGGAGCAGACGGCCGATTTCACCATGACTGACAGGAGCAGCGGGGCGGTTTGGGTGTGTGATGTAACTGTGACAGACCCCATCAGCACTCGGGACCCACTGGCGCAGAAAGGGAGAGGATGGGCGGCCAAGGAGCAGGCAGACAAGAAGATTCAACACTATGCGAACAGACCTGAGACAGTCGGCTTCTTTCCACTGGCGGTGGAGACCTATGGTTGCCCATGTGCAGAGGTCCCCGTCTTCCTTAAACTCTTGGCAGACACGGCGGCTCGGCGCCACTTCAACGCCGATTCTAACTCCTATCATGCCGCTAAGTTTCTGCATCAGTTCAGGCAGCGGTGGTCAGTTGCTCTTCAGAGAGCACAGTCGGTGGGCCTCCTCATGAAATTGGGTGAGGCGGCAGCAGCTGAGAACCCCCCGGTGGGGGGGATTGGACATGAACTACACCTAGGGGATTGTTTCGCTGTTTTGGAGCCACTGGTGGAACTCTAGATGGATTAGGCTGAAACTTGCATGATTCTGAACTTGTATGTGTGTACCTTTTGGCCATATCAATGTACGGACCATTAGAGAGAGAGAGAGAGAGAGAGAGAGAGAGAGAGAGAGAGAGAGAGAGAGAGAGAGAGAGAGAGAGAGGAGACCCTTGGGTCCTAGTCTTTAGCCATTTTCAGCCTAGTTCCTTAGCCTAGCCTAGTCCTTAGCCATTTCAGCCTAGTTCTCTAGTATATAAGGGCAAGGAGCCCATTCTCCTCCTCATTGTTTGGTGGTGAGTTCATTCTCACTGCAAAATCAGCGGCTCGATTAGCAGTACATACAACATGCAGCAGTAGCTACGCCCAAAAACCAAGGGCAAGGTAAGTTGGATAGGGAGAGGATGAGGAACAAAAAGGCAAATGGCAAGGCCCAGAAGGGGCAGGACGCTAAACGTGGTTCATCGCGTAAAACCGCCGGCGGATCCAACGGAGCAAGGACGCGAGCGCAGGCACAAGCTGCAGGGGTGCTTCTTCGGCAGCCGTGGCGACCCTGCGGAAAGCCCTCGCGCCCGGCCCCTCGTCAGGATGCTCGGACTCAAGGGGCAAGCGGAGGAGCCTCCACAAGCCCTGCGCCGCAGCCGCACGGACAACACCCTGCTGCTGCTCGGTCAGCTGGGGATTCCGCAGCACGAAGTTCCGCGCCTCCAGTCCGGCCTGCAGCTGCTCCAGCGCCGTCGCCACGTGGGAGAGGCACTCGCCAACACCAATCATGCGCCGCTCCCAACGGAGGACATCAAGGACGAAGTCGGACTGGATGTCCCAGTCCCGACCCCACGTCGTCCCGGACTGGGGGAGGAGACTCCCACAGCTCACCGTTCCACCACTTCTCGTCGTCCTCAGGATCAGGTGCGTCGGGCAGAAGCTCAGGAGACCGCGCTCGTGGCGAAGGGAAGCGAGCGACAGGGGCGGGGCCGCGAGGAACGAGGGGATGCTGCTGCTGCGGAAGCTCAGAAGGTGGATCGGCAGCAACAGGCGACGGCTCAGGCAGGGGGGGCACGAGAGGTGCCCCAACAGAGGACACCGTCGGCGGATGCAGCGGAGGAGGAGGCGGGAGAGAGGTCGACGCCGATAGCGGCGGATCAGACGTCGGCGAGGGCTGGGCCAGCGGAAGGGACGACGCAGCAGGCCCGGACGACTGCTGCTGGGAAGAGTGCTGAGACAGCGCTGGTGGAGGCAGTGGAGGATGCGGCTGAGACACCAGAGGAGAGCGGGGCTGGAGATGCGGTCCCACGATCTGTCGCTAAAGAACAGGTGGAGGGCGTGGAGGTCGGCGACGACGAAAGGAACCTCCACGGGCCCTCAGATGAGGATCAGTACGCCCGCGGGGTGAGCGATACACTGGCTCACGGGGACGAGAGGGGGTCTCGGCCCCCTCGTGCTCGACCAGGGCAGCGGCGGTTCGGAGTAGGACTGGCGCCAGCCCGCCCTAGGCCTCTGGCGGGTTGGGAACAGCAGGGTACCCCGCCACGCGCTCCCGCCGTGGATGCTTGCCCGTCATCACAGCAGCGCCTGGAGGCACAGGAGGAGGCGGAAGGAGAGCGACGAGCAGCAGAGCAGGCGGAGGACGAGGCCCACGAGGAGGAAGCGGTGTTGGCAGCCAGCACCGCAGAGCGACGGAGGAGGGCTGGAACAAGCCGGCAAAGAGCGCTGCAAGAGAGAGCGGACGAACAAGCCGCGGGCCAACAGCCGCGAAACGTGGCGGCAAGAGCGGCCACGAGAGGCCGTGGGCGAGGCCGGGGCAGGGGCGGGCGCGTGGGTGAGCTGGCGAGAGCAGTAGCACGGGAAAAGGCCAGATCTGGGAACTGGCGGGAAAGACACGAGAGGCCAGAACAAATTGAGGATGAACCAATGAATGAACCTGCAGGGGAGGAGGGGTCAGAATATATGGAGGAACAGGAGGCGGAGTCAGAGGAGGTCTCGGTTGAGGCGGAGGATGGGGTTCCCACAAATGGGGAAGGGTGTCGGCGACGTGGACACAGACAAGGACGGGACACAAGGGAGGCAAACGCACAGGTGGGCGAATCAGAGGCCCAGGTGGCAAACGAGGCTGCCAGCAAGGAGCGGGCACCCAAAGGGTGTTGGATTGGGATCTGGGACCACTCCGCGCCAGCGCACAGCCATTCCTGGTAAGGAAGCTCCCGCCAGAAATCCTGAAGGTGTTCAGCCACTGCATTACCGTACCACTCCTGCGACTCTCGAAGCATCCGGACTGCCTCGACGCGTGGCGAATTTTACAATTCCTCCCCAGACTTTCATTGCGGGCGAGCATGGAGACGACACCTGGAAACAGATGGCAAGCAGTAGAGGATCGGCTTCGCCAATTCCGAGAAGAAAAGTGGGACGCACTGTACATCCAGGCCAGCACCTTCCCCCCAAACTCCAAACCTGACAGGCATGAACCTGACCCGGAAGGTATCTGCGCCAGAGCAGAGGGGCTGGTTCGGAAAGCCAACCTGGCGAAAGCAACAGCGGCGTTACACACCTCTCCTCTAGCTGAGCCGTCGCAAACCACCCTGGAAGCCCTCTGCTCCAAACACCCAAGCCCAGAGTTGGCGACACTGGAGGGTCTCACAGGTTACACAACATCCGAGCTCGCCATCAGTGTCGAGGCATTTCGCGAAGTATTGGCGAAATGCCCAAACGGGATAGGAGCGGGGCCATCAGGGATGTGTTTCGAGCACTTACGCAATCCTGCCTTAACCAACTGGGAGGTTTTCGCTCTCCTACACAAGGTCGTAAATCGGCTTCTAAGCACCTACCAGAACGAGGCAGTACAGGAGCTGCTGCTTCCATCCAGGCTAATCGCCCTGGAGAAGCCGGACGGAGGCGTCCGACCAATCGCGATAGAAGAGGCGCAGCTCAGACTGACGGCCAAAGCGGCGCTAAAAGTACTGGCGGGAGAAATCCGGGAATACTTCCTACCAGTGCAATTCGGAGTGGCGGTGCCAGGAGGAGCGGAATGCATTATACATTCGACAAGGGCACTCCTAGCGGAAGAACCCACGAGGGTAGTCCTGCAGCTAGATATTGAAAACGCGTTCAACTCCGTGGAGCGCGGTTGCTTCCTCTCGACGCTGCGATGGACTGGCCTGACATCGCTCATGCCGCTGGCCCTCACACTCTACGGCGCACCATCCAAACTCCTACTGGACAGCGGGTTCGAAGCGCCTCATATCAACAGCGCGCGGGGGGTGCGGCAGGGTGACCCGCTAGGACCAATGCTATTTGCGGCGGCCATCCAACCCGTGCTCCTATCGGCGGCAGAGGCAGTCCCAACGGTGACCGTGATGGCGTACGCGGACGACATCACGATCATAGGCAACCTAGCACAGGCAACCAGGGCACTAAACAAGATACGAGACGAATTGGGCTGCTGCGGCCTACGGTGCAACCTCGCTAAATTGTCCGCATGGAGCCCCTCAGGGGACACAGGGCGACTACATAACGGCCTGGCAACAGCGGTGGATGGAGTACGGGTGCTGGGGAGCCCAATCGGCACTACATCATTCTGCCAGCGCACCATCAGGGGTACACTTGAGTCAACAGCAGCACCGTTGGGGCTCATCGGAAAACTTCACCCGCAACACGCACTGCTATTCCTCTCTCGATGCATCTCGCGCAGGATATCGTACCTCCTGCGTACAACACCGGCAGACGCACTCCCCCGCAGGGAATGGAGGGAATGGAGCGAGAGACTCCTATGGACAGCGTTCAAGGCGGCCCACCTGCACACGCGGAGCAAAGAGCCGGAGCAAAGCCTGGTGTGGAGGCAAGCGACGCTGCCAATTGCGCTGGGGGGTCTGGGAATCATAGACCCCCTCTCAGAAGCACCAGCGGCATACCTGGCTTCGCTGAAGGCGGCACAGACTCTCTTGCAGCACGTGTCAGCAACTCCAAGCCACCCAGTGCAGCGCGTGGCGGCACTGGTGTCACCACACGGGGACGGAGCCACGGGAGAAAGAGGAACAAGTATCAGGGACCTGAGGAACAGACTCCCAGAATCGGCAAGAGAGCTGCGTAGGGCAACGGAACAGGGCAGTGAGGTGAAAGGCCGCCTGCAGGAACACCTCTCGAGGCAGATAAACTTGGACCGGGCAGCGGCGCTGGTGGGCGACACGCGGATCGACAAGTTAGGGGAAGACAACGGCCACGTCGTCCGACTTATCAGCCCGCAGGGAGTAGGAGCGGGGGACTGGCTCCATGCCATCCCCACACGGGCAGACCTCACGTTCTCCCCAGGGCAGTTTGCGATAGCTCTGGGCTTCCGGCTGGGACTGACCCTAGCAGTGACGGACAACTGCCCGTGCGGTAAGAGACGGTCTAAGATAGGGGACCGAAGCCTCCCTAACCATCTGCTAAGGTGCGCAGAGGGGAAGGACAGGACGAACACACAGAACAGCCTGGTTTACGCGGCACTACGGATGGCCAACGAAGCTGACTACATGACCGCACATGAGACCACGGCCTTCTCGCAAATTGTTAACCCCAAGTGAGCAGACCTGGTCATTAAGGACAAAGAGTCAGCGGAAACCTATGTGACCGACGTTACAGTGACTGATCCAGTTCTGCAGCGCCGAGACACAAGGGCGGTAAAGCCACCAGGCTGGGCGGCAGAGGACGCGGCAAGGGGGAAAAGGGGGCTGTACGAGGGACGCCCGGATTTTGTTGGGGTGCTCGGCTTGGCGGTAGAGACCTATGGGGCCCTGGCCCAGGACACCCAGAGGTTCCTCCGCATGCTAGGGACACAGGCGGCCAAGAAAATGTACAGACAAGGGAGGCTCACTACGGTGGCCTCCAAGCTCACTGCGCATTACCGGCAGCGCTGGTCGGTAATGCTTCAGCGCAGCCAGGCCAATACCCTGCTGGCCAAGTCCAACAGGGCAACCGAACGGGCCTTCCCCCAAGCAGCAGTCGACCCGTGGGAGCCCCGCCTAGGGGACCTCTGGCAGGTCCTCGAGGACGACCTGGACTAGGGGCCGGCCCTGGATGTGTGAGGGGCTGGAGTAAGGAGGCCCCCAGGCAGTGGTCCCCAGGTGATGGATACGTGGTAGGACCTGGCTAGCCGAGGCAAGCAGCAGGAGTGTTAGGGGTTGTTGCTTGCTTGCATGTTTGCCTGCTTGCCCGCCCTATAGCTAGACTGCATGCTAGGATGGCTGATTCTTATATGCTGTGCCTATACCCTACATACTATCAATGAAGGACCGCTTGAGAGAAGCAAAGAGCCATGTAGCCGCCAGGAAGGGAGACTCATCGGCAGAGAGAGGGGAGAACTCGACCGAGGAAGGGGGAAGAGAATGGGGCACATGGCCAGGAAGGAAGATGGCACAGGAGGGGGCGGCCATTCACAGGAACGGCATGAGCTGGTAGAGAGGAAGACCAAGGAAGACATGGAGGAGATAGCATGAAGGAGAAGCACAAGAGCAAGGATGACAACTGAAGCTGAAGATTCCGGCAACTGTCGTGCTTTTAATATTGGATATAAGACTAAATGAAACCTGAATACAAATACAAGACAGAGTAGAGCAGCAAGGTAGCAGTAGCGGAGACAGAGGACGCGAAACAATTCAGGCGAAAACAAGAAGCAAAGCGAAACCGAACGAAGGAACCGTTGCACCCAACAGCAATGCATAAAATGACTATTGCTTGCGTGTTTGTTTTCACACTTAGTAGAATACTGGGCCTAGCGAACTATCTAGTGCCTATCGACTGCAAAGCCAGTTCTCGCAAGCAAAGTAGAGGAACCCATTGCTGCCGAGCAGGGGTGATCAGAGGCCGACCTTGCACTGGCCCAAGGCCAGAGCCTTTTAAGAGAATGGGGCACATGGCCAGAAGGGAAGATGGCACAGAGGGCGGCCATTGACAGGAACGACGTGAGCTGGTAGAGAGGAAGACCAAGGAAGACATGGAGGATGTAGCACGAAGGAGAAGCACAAGAGCAAGGAAGATGACTGAAGCAGAAGATTTCAACAGTACTGTCAGTAGAGCTGCACTATATGAGATCCCCGATTGATCCTAGGGGGGTTACATGCATGTTAGCCTGGGGGGTTATGGGCGCACTGACCCGCTACTGAAACAAGCTTTTTTATCCCAGTGGTCTAGTGGCTGGGATTTTGACATGGTATCGGAGCGGTCTCGGGTCGAATCCCGGTGTAAGCACATGCAGGCCGTTGCCGCTGTGCTCAGTCCTGGGCCTCCCAGTGTGGGGGGGTGTCAGTAGAGCTGCACCGTGAGATCCCCGATTGATCCTATGGGGGTTCAGGCATGTTAGCCTGTGGGGTTATGGGCGCACTGACCCGCTACTGAAACAAGCCATTTTATCCCAGTGGTTTAGAGGCTGGGATTCTGACAAGTACTATACAAGGCATGTAACCCAGGTGTTACTAGAATGTACCGAGGCTCTAAAACCAATGGGAATAGAGCCTTCCCGAATCGGTAAAGGAATCCGGTGCACATTAATGGACACACAATGTCCCGCAAGATAGTAAGAGATAAATCTAGAACGCGTTGCACGTAATCATATGTCAAAACATATTCATATGTTCTTAGTTCTGCTAAGCTACAGCGAGGTGCTCAGTATAGAGTACAGCCCCAGTTGGGGTTACATACTTGTATCTCCCTGTTTCTAGTCATTCATCATTCCTGTCTTCCTAGTTTAACATGGTATCAGAGCATGATCGTTCCTAGGGCCCATCGAACGTTCCGCCCTGCCCTGCCCGTAATTTGTTTTCAGCCCTGCCCTTAGGCCCGCGCGCAGCCCTGCGCTGCAGCCCGCGCGCTGCGCTGCCCTGTCCTTAGGCACGCAGCGCTGCCCTGCCCTTAGGCCCGCGCGCCGCCCTGCCCTGCAGCCGCGCTCGCCTCTGCAGCCCGCGCTCGCCTCTGCAGCCCGCACTCGCCCCTGCAGACGCGCTCGCCCCTGCAGCCCGCGCTCGCCCCTGCTGCCCGCGCTCGTCCCTGCAGCCGCGCTCGCCCCTGCAGCCCGCGCTCGCCCCTGCAGCCGCGCTCGCCCCTGCACGCTGCGCTCGCCCCTGCAGCCCACGCTCGCCCCTGCTGCCCGCGCTCGCCCCTGCAGCCCGCGCTCGCCCCTGCAGCCACGCTCGCCTCTGCAGCCCGCGCTCGCCCCTGCAGCCGCG